AGGCACTGAGAAAAGGAATCAATGGATGAGTGAAAAACTGAGTGGATAAAAGTGAATGGATGGTCCAAAGAATGAATGAATGAACAGAATGAATGAATGAATGAATTAGGACATGAATGGTTGAGTGAGTGGACCTTGTTGCTAACCCCAGCTGTGGAAGGAAGGGGCTCCATTGCCAGGACCTGGGAGGGCTGAGAGGAGCTGGTTCCCGTGGGCACTTTTCCCCACCACCCAGCTCCATAAGGAAGCAAAGCCCCCAGGGCTCCCAGCCCACCCGCAGCTGTTCCATTATGTATAGATACAAACTGGATTGCGTGTATCATTTACTCCTCCACCAGAAGCGAACCACGACCATCGAAACGCAGATGTCAGTGAAATAACATATCTCTGGTGGCTTGTCTACCTGTCTCCCTCACTGCGGAGAAATAACTCGCAGCAGCGGGTTAAGCTGACAATAAACACAGGAATTGACTTCAGTGGGAATAAACTTGCTTCACTGTTGACAAAAATCTAAGGTGATGCCACCTTCACTGGGCTTGTGGCTTGCTCAGGTGGCTGCCTGGCCGTGCTTCTCCCTTCTTGAGACTGGGATGAGGGACAAAGGCTCCAAGTTGACAGGCAGATCTCTGTTCCTGAGCAGAGAAGCAGGTCCCAGTGTCCTGTAAAGGGCTAGGGCTTGGCTTTTGCAGTCCACGTGCACTTYGCCATTGAGAGAGTGAGAGCTCTGGAATACAGCCAGTCCTGTGAAGGCTGGTGCCCTCCTCTTCCCTGCTTGGGCAGTTGGCAAAGATCAGGGAAAGGGTGGCAGTTGTGTGCTTATGGTCCAGCACACCCTCCGGGCAAGAGGCAGCCCCTCCCCTCTTCTCACCAAGGTGCCCCAAGCATTGGTTACAGAGTGGCCCCTGGAGCCCGGGTGGTCAGACACTGAGGGGAATGGCCAGAGCCCCAGGACTACGGCGTCCAGCCCCTCCAGCCCCTGCCTGCTGCTGGGCAGCTGGAAGAACTGAAAGTAGGCAGGCTTCAGCAGAGGGCACTCAAGTCCTAGGGATCTGCACTCAGCAACGGCACAGCACGCTCTGCTCAGTGGCTTCTCAGGGAAGCGGAGATCATGAATCTCAGTAACTGGAGCCCAGGGCCTCATCACTCACCGTGATTGTGGGGGGATCGAGAGCCGAGAGCCGAGTGGATCAGTCTAAACAAAACATGCACACAGGGGACTCGTCCAGATGAGCGGCTTGGCCACCACCGGGGGGCCACTCTGCCTTGCCCACAGAAGCTGGGGAGGGGCCTGGGAGGGGGCCATGGTGGGGGCTGACAGTCTGGTTCCCTCCACTGAGCCCTACCCTCACCCCCACCTGTGAGCCAGTGGGAGACATGAATCTCTCTGGCAGCGACTTGGGCCAGCTCAGCCATTTTAGGGGATGTTAATGAAATGCGGGAGCACTTGTCCTTTCAGACAGCGGCCCCTTTTATTTGGGAATGAAAAGCTGCATTAGTCTGAATGAGGTTTGGAGGCCTCATAAATCCAGCGCTGGCTGCCTCGTGGGGGAGCCGAGGCCTGGCTGGTGGGTAGACTTGTTTACCAACAATGCCAAAAGCCAGGACTGGAGGCTCCCAATCCCCAGAGATGCAGCTTGAGATGGTGCCAGACCTGGTGCCTGCTGGCAATAGGGCTGCCTGGAGAAGCCCATGACCACTGGAGAGAGGGTGGCAGGGTTCTTTTGTGAGTTAGGGACCCCGGAGCACCCCAGCTTGCCCCAGTAAAGGACCCTGATCCTGTTCTACTCTCAGCCTTTCTAAATGCAGCTAGAGGCTGTAGCTGCCATTGCAGAGGGGAGAAGGATCTTCCCTAGGGCCTGCCCTCCTCGGCCTGGGAGGTGTAGATATGGGTCACCCATGAGTTTGTRCTAGAGCCCTGGCTCCTCATCCAGAGCTTGGAAAACAGGTGATGCCCATCAGATATTAGGAGGGAGCAGGGAGGGAGGGAAGGAAGATCACTCACTAGCTGTGTGCCTTTGGTCTTTACCCTTCCAGGGTTCTGAGTCTTCATCTGTAAAATGGAAAAATAACCAAGACCCTGAAGAGTGGGTCGTGGAGAGGACTGGAAGAACGGATACCTGCAAGGTAGTGAGTGCCCTGTCTGGAACATGGCAAACGACTGAGAAATACAAGCAGTCCTGATTATCACTGCTGTTGTTTTGTTGTCGTGATGCATCCCACTCTCTCTTGGACTGGGAGGGGACAGGCTGCTGTATCACAAAATGGCATGCAGCTATGTGAAGAACAAGGCCCCATCCTGGGTTGGGAGAGCAGCTTTCCCTTTGACCCCCGGGGTTCCGGCTGGGCTGCCAAGCCAGGAGACTGGGTCCAGGAGCCTCTGCAGCTGGAGGCTGTTTCCCACGGCAGCCTGGTGGCAGCCGAGAAAAGCCTCCATCTGCAGCACTGGGGAACTCACGCCCACTCTGAATGCAGCAGGAGCAGGCCAGGCCTGGGCTGTTTCCTGGGGGTGACAAGGGAGACAGGGGTGGCAGGGCCACTCTCTCATCCCCAGGAGTCCTCAGATTCCCCCTCTGCTGGTCTAGTTCCTTTCTCTTGCTAGCTTTCTGGAAGCCCCCTCTCCTCTTCCTCCTTCCCGCCCTCCATCCCTCCCTCTCCTGGCCTCAGTACTGCTCTCCCTCTGGGACCCACCTCTATCTTTCTTCTTTTGTTTCCTGTCAAACCACTTGTCCTTTGCCCCAGCCTCTCTCCTGTCAGAGGGCTGCCTGAAGAACAGCACACACACAATTGGCACCCAGGCGCCTCACTCCGTCCCCTAGTCAGAYGTGGGCCCTGTTGGCCCTGCCGTCGTGCATCCTTGGTCTGAGTTCAGGTCCCTTTCATTTCTCCATCAGGCTGCTGGAATTTTCTTAGAGAACAGCCAGGCCTTTTGATTCCTTGGGAGCAACCAAACAAGCTGTGGAAGCTGATAGGCAGGTAATGGGGCTGTGGAGTGTGTCCCATGAAGAGCTCCCTGAGCTCCCTCCTGGAGGGTGGGGTCCTCTGCTCCCCTCTCCTGCACTGCCCCCTTGCTGGGCCCACTGAAGCCCTTCTTCTCCATACAGAGGTCAGCTGCTGCTTCTCTGRCTCTGGTCTGCATGTCCTTCCCTCTGGTCCTGGAGGCAAGATTTTTCCACTGGCTGCCCATTCAGGGTAAGAGGGGCCCATGATTGGCAAAGACAGACCCTTAGTAACCTTCATTTACCAGCAGATCATTGAGGATGTCATCAAGCCTGGCCCAAGTCTCCCTTCTCTCTCTCTCTCTCTCTCTCTCTCTCTCTCTCTCTCTCTCTCTCTCTCTCTCGAAGAGCCCAGGGAGTCTCTCCTCCCAGGCCACAGTCTCCTCACTTCAGGTGGGAGTCCCCTCCTAATTGGTAGGATTGGCCATAGTGATATTCACATCCTTTGCTCCCAGGCCGGAAGGGAAAGAAAGAAATGGCAAAATTAACAGGCAGTTTAGCGCCCGACGCCTAGTATATTTGTAAGAAAATTAAAGATTTGCTCTTCAGATGTTGGGGGCCACGCTCTTACCAAGACAGCTGGCAAATGGGAGAGATTGGAAATGATGGAATAGATCAAATTATTTAAATGAGAAAAATAAATTCACACACAGCCTAGCCGCTGCTCGGTGACAGATCCGTTTATTTATCTACTGTATCGGCACCGCTTTGTCTCTGTCAAAAAGGTCATTAAACTCGCCTAACTGCGTAATTCGCAGCCTCCTGCTCCAGCTTCGCTCCGCAGCCCTTCTCTTCCCTCGACACCCAGCGCCACTTGAAAAAAAAATTTATTATTGCTAATAAACAACATTTCTTTTTAACCCTTTCAGCTTGCTCCCCCGCGGGTCCTGCTCCGTCCCGCGGAAAATTACAGTTTCTCCTCATTGTTTCTCAGTAGGATTCGGGGAGGGGGCACCAGCCCCTCTCGCAGAGTTGGGGAAGAGGGCTGAAAAGCAGTGGGCTCCAACTCTACGTCCAGGGGTTTAGCAGTCTTCCTCCGCAGCCCTGTAGCGGCGGTGCGTGGTCAAGTCCTGCCTTCCACGCAGAGGGGCTGACCGGGTCTCTCACCCCATCCGCAGCTCCCCTGGTTCAGCGTGGACAATTCTCTTTGAATTCTATACCCCCAATCCCCAGCCCCCAGGCCCAACCCTGCTTCCACCAGGGACGGGGCCAGGGAAGGAAATCGTTCTCGGGTCACTCTCTGGCCACCGCCGTCCAGCCAGCGCGGGCCGCGTGGGAGCTGAAAGGCGAGACTCCGCAGACGGCGGGCTCCCGGTCTCGCTGCTCCCGGCGGGCGCGTCTCCTCCAGCTGGTCGGGCCGCTGGGTTGCCGCCGTCTCCCAGCTCGTGGTGCCAGCTCTCGCKCTCCACGCCTGGCTCCCTGGGCTCTGTGCCCTCGCAGTTGAAGGGACTGGGGGCGGTAGGGCGGATGGGGACGTCTGGGAATCGAGGAGAGTCCTCGTCCTCCCGGCGGCCCCCCAAACCGGGTCCAGGGTCCCGTTCCCCGCCCCCTCCGCAGGTGTGAGCGCGCGAGTGTGTGCCTCGGCGAGTGTGAATGTGAAGTGTGTGCGCGGGGGAGTGCGCGGAGGGAGCGCGGGCGGCGGGCGGCGCGGGAGGCGGGAGGCAGGGCGCGGGGGAGGGGGCTGGGAGGGAGTGTGTGCGCGCGTGCAACTCCACTCCGGGGCTTTGTGCGAGCCCGGGCGATAGCATCGGCGGCGGCTGGAGGAGGAGCGGCCCGAGACGCGTGCAGCCCGCCCGCCAGCGCCCGGCAGCCGGGGCAGGTGGGAGCCCGCGCGGGAGCCGAGCCGACGCGAGCCGGAGCCGGAGCCGAGTCGGAGCAGAGCCCGGGCGGAGCCCAGGAGCCTCGCTCGCGGGCAGCCCGTGGGMGGCAGCCAGGCGGGGCGGGCGCCGGCGGGGCGGCCCCCCAGTAAGATGTGCGCAGCGCCGCGGGGCGCCCCCCACTCGCAGCGGCACTCGGGAGCCGGGCGGCTGGGCCAGGCGGCGCCTCGGGGGCTGCTGCGCGCCCGCGCCTAGAGCTGCCGCCCCAGGGAGCCCGCCACGGCCGCGCCCCGGGCACGCTCGGCGGCGCCCAACGATGACCGCTCCCTGGCGGCGCCTCCGGAGTCTGGTTTGGGAATACTGGGCCGGGCTCCTCGTGTGCGCCTTCTGGATCCCAGACTCGCGCGGGATGCCCCACGTCATCCGGATCGGTAAGGGCTCCCTGGAGCCGGGGGTCTCTGTGCGCCCGGGCGGGGGCGGGAATGGGGGCCTCTGAACGTGATCTCTAGAGATTTTTCCAACCTCTCTCCGGGCTGGCGGGACCGGGTAACCACCAGGAGCTTGTCATGGTGAGGACAAAGTTCCAAAGCCAGGGCCACGGGCCTTACTTATTTGGGAGGAGGCAGCCGGGCCGCGGCGGGCGAGGGGCCCTTGGYGCGCTCCTGGGAGGTCAGACCTGGTGGAGTGTGGCGAACGGTTCCAGTCCCAGCCCGAGACCCGGGCGAATTTTGCGGCGACTGCCAGCATGACTGGCCGCAGACCGAGTTCTGGGACTCGGCTTCTCCGCGTAGTAGGAGCCCTGGGGAAGGCGCCAACTTCTCTCCTCTCCCCTTGCCGCTCCCCGCGGGCCCCTCGCCCCCACCTCGGGCACAGCTCAAGCAGCCGCGGCAGGGGCGCAGGGTACGGATTCGCATGACGAGCGAAGCGGGTTTCCTGGCCCAGTGGCCGCTCTCGGCTTCGGTGGCCCCCATTCAGCGCTGTGGCGTGGGGCAGGGAGGAGCAGTCTCCCGCCAGACACTCCGGSCTGTCCCTGGAGACCCAGGCCTTTTTCTGCCGGGGGCAACGAAGGTGGGGGGAAGGGAGCGACGGAGGCCGCCCAGCGCAACCGGGAAGGCGAGCGAGGGCTGCGAGTGGTTGTTAAAGTTAGCCGAAATCCCTCCGCAGCTGGCGGCGGCTGGCGGGTCTGCGCGCGGCTTTCTGGGGCTTGGGCTTCTCCGCGTCTCTTTTCGCCAGAGACTCTTGCTCGGGCTTTTAACTTTGTTGTGGCCGCCCAAGGCACCTTGCSGGCAGCGCTCTGGGCTGTGCGGTGGGGCCGTGCGTGTCCCAGGCCAGCCGACCCCAGGATTGGGCCCGGCCGGGCCACCGGGGAACCTCGTCACCAWGGGCTCAGGGCCCCCAGGCTGGAAACCTGGGCCGCCTGTGTTCCCGAGGAGCCACCGCCAGCGTCTGGCACAAGGTGGTCAGAACTCTGTCCGCCAAGGCCACCTTCCTCCTCTGTGGCGTTTCTCCAGGCACCGACTTTGGGCTGTCAGCCGCGCGAAGGGGATGCAGGGAACCAATGTCGGGCTTGGTTTCCGTACTTGAGGTTTTCCTAGTAGGAGGTCAAAAACCTCAGAGGATCTGTCTCCTCCCTGGCGGTCTCCCAGAAGCTAGACCCTTTGAACTCGACATCTGGATGCGGGTAGAGCACAGTGCCTCAGCTCTGCCCAAGCTGTCTTTCAGTCCTTGCTTGGGACCCTGGCAGGCAGACACCCAGAGAGGCAGAGAAGGCCAGGCACTGGAGGGGACTCTGGGGACAGCCCTCATGGTCAGGCTTAACCCTTTGCAGTCCAGGCTGCTCCTGGCAAGTCGAATGTCTTCTGTCTCCCTACTTTTGCCTGCCCAGCACCCAAGTCATCACCATTCCAGGGGCAGGCAGACTATTAACCACGGACCAGAAGAAGGCATCCCTCTATTTTTTTGAGGGTCCTTCATGATAGGGTATCCTTGGGAGAAAAAAGGGGAGCCCCTGAGGATGTGATATATGCATCCCATGGTTTGCAGGACCCTCTTGCATGGTCCCACTCTTCCCTCTACTGGGGTGGGATAGATGTACTTGCAGCCCACCCTCAGGGATGGAAGTCTTTGGAGACCTAGAGAGACAGAAGCAGGTGAGGGCAGTCCAATGGGGGCAGAATGATGTGCCCTGCCTTGCCCCTTCTCACTGTGAAGTTGAATAGGTCTGGGGGTTCCCCGCCACCATGAGAAGCCCATCTTCAAACCTGCCCGCCCTTTCTTGGGTTCAGCATGTAATAATGCAATTAGAGGATGGCAGAGCCCTCCTCTCCTCTAATCTTCTTCGTATTAAGCCCCAGGATTAATTAGCGTGTCGGCCCAGGCCATTTATATCCAAGAGCCCTGCCCCATTTGATTCCCAGCCCAGGGACCGGGGTGCTGTGCGGTTGCCAAACGTGACCACTGGAGCTGAGCCAGGTCGGGTGGAGGATGGGAAGGCTCTGAGGCCTCTGGGCTTCTCTGGAGCAGACTGGGGGCTGAGCTTCTGACCTTCTGAGCCTGTGCTTGAACCCCAGCTGGAGCCAGAAAGCTACAGTGGATGTGGTGCAGGGAGAGAGAGAGAGAGAGAGGAAATTTTTCATGCTGAAACCCAAACACACCGCCTTGGCTGGGCCAGTGCCATCTCCATTTTCCCATTCCTCCCACCCCTGGGATCTGAGGGCTCTGGCTGGGCTGCAGGGATTGGGTCCCGGATATTGGGCTCTGGAGCATGCTGGGTGCTTCTGGTTCCCAAGCCTGGTGCAGGCACTGGCTGAGCTTGGAGCTGAATCCTTCTCCAGCAGCCAGGCGTCACTGAGCACGGGCCCAGAGAGGGTTTACCTGCAGGTGCAAGATGGGCTCTCTGGGCTGGGGCGCACTGTACCCGCCCCTCTCTTTGTGCCTCTTTTGGGGGCTGAAATTTCCTCTTAGACAAGGAGATGGATGGCTCAGCAGTGTGACAGAGTGTTCAAACAATCCGTCTTGAATAGATGAATTGCATTGCTCTGTCTTTTTGTAATTGTGTCTATCAGAGGGAGAGGTCAAGGCATTGATTGCTTGGATGGTTTGCAAGTAACAAAGGAGAGTGAGGGAGAGAGCGAGGGAGAGAGAGTAATTGGATTGTAGTCTGCGGAAAAAATGATCATTGATTATTTTATATGAATATGTGGAAGATGTATTCTGTGTGTGATTACCAAGTGTTGCTCATTGAAGGTTTGCAAAGCAAATTGTTCAGCATTTTATTATTATTATCATCGTTATTATTGTTTGGATGAATCCTGGTCTTAACTTATAGAAAGCGGTTTAATTCAGGGTCCTTTCAACCGAATGGGCTTTCACTGACCTCCTGTGRGGACCTGGATTTCCAGGTTTCATGACCTAGAAGCTAAAGTGGAGGGGGCACTGGGCTTGGAGGCAGGAGCCCTGGCTCTGTCTGCTGCTGGTTTGTTGGACCGCTTTGCTTAAATCACACCCTCCTTCCCACCTTGATCCTCAGTTTCCCCATCTAAACAATTTGGTTGGCCTTCATGGTTGGCATATTCTATGGGTTCCGAGTTCCCTTGAGCACAGGCTGGTGGGAACTCTGCCGTTGTAGGTTTCATGGTTAGATCTCCCCTAAGATTACTGTAGGATTGAGGGTCAGCCTAGAATTTGCAGAGGGGACCAGGCAATGTTGGCGGCAGCTGGGGAAGCCTGGCCAGCCTTCTGTGTGATGAGGAACTTGGATGGATGGCCGTGATCTCCAGCCAGCCAGAGGGGAAGTTCAAAGCCAAATGACTGCAGAGACATAAAGCAGGTGTATGTGTATGGGGGAGGGGTGGGGTAGGGGAGGAAGGGCTGGCCCAGCTCTGGGCTCTCRGAGCATCTACAGAGTAGAGGTAACTGCATGGTCCTGAGCTTCCTGAATGTGCAGACAACAGCAGGTGGTCCCAGGGGAGTAAGGTCSACTCCTGGAGCAGAAGTAGAGCTGGGCAGGGCCAGCACATTCAGGAAGCTCAGGACCATGCAGTTCTCAAACTAACCCCGTCTGCAACTCCTCTGATCGGTGCACTCAGATCATCCCGAGCGTTTATCTCTTGAGTTTGGGAGCCACTGCGTGTAAAACAATGAGAAATTTCTCGGTGACTAGTGATATGCTGAAACGTGGCGGCCGTGGCGGCCGTGTGGGAGCAGACAGCCGCTGAATGAAGATCAATAGGGTTTTCCCCCCTGGAAGTAAATAGCTTCAGACAAGACCTGGGAGTGGCCCGAGGGGCCTTCGGAAGCATCAACTTGAGGAATTTCTGCCTCCACTTTGCAGCCCAGCTGCTCCTGTCAGCCCGGCTGGCCGCCTCCGCCAGCTGGAGGTTAATTTCCTCTTGCTGCTGCCCTGGCATTGCTCGAAACCGCCTTTTGACGTCAGGATGACCTAGGGTTTCTAGAGGTGCTTTATACAGGGTGAGCCGGGCACCCTGGCCGGACTCAGCTTTTCCAAGGTCACCTGTATCCTTGCAGCTGGCCGTGATGAGCTGGGTGCAGAAGTCCAGCCTGCTGTGCTGTGTGGAAAGGGCTAGGAGGGCTGCTCTCCATTTCTCACCCTCCAGGAGTGCTTTTAGGATCCTGCRTAGGGCCTGTGGGCCTCCTTCTTAGTCCCTACATTCCTACAGCCAGTCTGTGTCCTAGCCTTTGGACGCAGACCCCTTTCCTCTGGGAGGGGGCACAGATACTCTTGTGGGCMGGCGAACAACTCCTGCTCTCATGAGAGGTGCACGTCTCCTGCAGGGGAGGCTGCAGGCAGATTGGACGGTCTTTKGGGGGAGATCTGTGGGGGATCAGCATCTGGGACTGTGTCTCTGACCCGCTGAGGCCAGGCCTCCTCCATCCTGTCACAGTCAGCTGCCCTTCCTCTTTCTCCTGCAGCTGTGGCCCCTGCTCCATCAGGACCCTTCAGAAGGAACTGAGAGCTGGTGCTTTTTTCTGCTGGGCAGCACAGAGGACCCAGGAATCCCCCAGGCCCTGCCTGGCAAYGTGGAGGATTAATGCTCCAGGAGCAGGGCCCTTCCCTGGGGCTAGCACCCAGCAGGCCCTGCCCTGTCCTCTCAAGGCTGACGTGGCGGGGCCAGAACTCTGGGGTGGATGTGCTGAAGTCCTGGTCCCAGTGTGGAAACACAGCTGATGCCCCTGGGACTGGCACCTGGACCTTGGGCTTGTTTCCTGTCCTCCCTCTTGTGCCAGGTGCTGATTCCTCAGCAGCAGCAGCAGAGGGCAGTGTTCCTGTGCTCACAGGGCCCCACCTGGGTCGAGAGCAAAATCCAAATAATGAAACAACAACAGTACCGTGGCCCCGATTTATTGAGTGCTTATTAGCTGCCTGGCACCGTGTGTACTAAGTGCTTTTCAAACAATGACTAGTTGTGGG